ATCTTCACAGAAGCAAAGCCCAAACCACACCCACTGCCATGGAGTCCATTCTGACCCACAGCGCCCCTAGAGGACAGAGTGGAACTGCCCACAGGTCTCCCAGGCTGTCAATCTTCACGGAAGTGGACAGCTTCATCTTTCTCCTAGGTTGCCGCTGGTGGGTTTGAACCACTGGCCTTCTGGTTAGCAGCTGAGGGCCTTAACCACAACACCCCAGAGGGCCTCATTTGTCTGGTCAGTCCCTGTACCCAATGTTTTCACTTCTCTGTCTTTTGTGCTCAGTGGGTCCTTCTCTAGCGGGAGGCCCTGGTGGTCGCACAGTTAACATGCTCGGCAGCTGACTGAAAGTGAAACGTTAGAGGTTTGAATCCACCGGGGCACCTCAGAGGAAAGTGTTGACAATCCATGTCTGAAGAACCGGTCACTGCGAAGCTAGCGGAGCCCTGCTCTCCCGTGACGCCGGGGGGTCCCTGAGCGGGCGGCTGGCTGCTGGCTTCCCCGCAGTTCACCCACACTGCACGTGAAGCGCCGCCTCTCCGCCGACCAGTTACCTGTGGACACAGGCCTGGGCCTGAAGCTGCCCCAGGCCCCGCCGCGGCCCTCCGCTCTGCCCTCCGAGATGTGGGGTCTCGGAGCAGGTCCGGGCGCCGCACACACCGTGGTCTCGTCCGCGGACCGTGGCCGGTACTCGCCAGGCCTGGCCGTGGGGGGCCAGGCCCCGGGCTGCAGGTTGCTGCGGGAGGAGGACACAGACTCGCTGCAAACCGAGGTGCAGGAGGTGGAGCGGGAGCAGGAAGCCACATCGCTCAGCTCGTAGAAACCTGGGGGGTGACAAGGCGTCTGTCACCCTGCAGGACCCCGTGCCCTCAGGACCTCGTCCCCCACAGGGCCCCATCCCCCACAGGGCCCCATCCCCCACAGGGCCCCACCCTCCATAGGGCCCCACCCTCCATAGGACCCTACCCCCTCACATGACCCCATCCCCCCACATGACCCCACCCCCTCGCATGACCCCACCCCCCACATGACCCC